TACATACATACATATATAACTAGATGAAGTGTTCTTCATAAATTAAATGTAGCTTGATCTATAAAGATTTTTACCAGGATGGTAATGTATTTACATTATATTCATTATCTTGCTGGCTTTTCAATAAAAGTGTAATCATCTTAAGTTTAATCCTCTTCCTTCATAAAGGTATCATAAAGATATTCTGGTTCATACTCTGGTTCATACAAGATGACATCTTATAAAACAAAATACATTTCTTTATATTGAAGCAATTTTTTTATTTAATAGGACTGAATCAAGCTCAAATAAATTACATTAATAAATGTTTTTTAAGAGTCAGATCAAGTATAAATAGTTATTTTTAGTAACAAATGTCAATATTTACTTTTTACAATGGCGTTGTTACTTTATTTGTATTAATATAAATTACTTTTATTTTCCTCTTTTTTTGTGTGTCATCAGGTAATTCATTATTTTTACAGAGAGATTGAGTGTGTGTGTGTGTGTGTGAGAGAGAGAGAGTGTGTGTGTGTGTGTGTGTGTGTGAGTGTGTGTGTGAGAGAATGTGTGTGTGTGTGTGAGTGTGAGAGAATGTATGTGTGTGTGTGTGAGAGAGAGAGAGAGTGTGTGTGTGTGTGTGTGTGTGTGAGTGTGTGTGTGAGAGAATGTGTGTGTGTGTGTGAGTGTGAGAGAATGTATGTGTGTGTGTGTGAGAGAGAGAGAGAGTGTGTGTGTGTGTGTGTGTGTGTGAGTGTGTGTGTGAGAGAATGTGTGTGTGTGTGTGAGTGTGAGAGAATGTATGTGTGTGTGTGTGAGAGAGAGAGAGAGTGTGTGTGTGTGTGTGTGTGTGTGAGTGTGTGTGTGAGAGAATGTGTGTGTGTGTGTGAGTGTGAGAGAATGTATGTGTGTGTGTGTGAGAGAGAGAGAGAGTGTGTGTGTGTGTGTGTGTGTGTGAGTGTGTGTGTGAGAGAATGTGTGTGTGTGTGTGAGTGTGAGAGAATGTATGTGTGTGTGTGTGAGAGAGAGAGAGAGTGTGTGTGTGTGTGTGTGTGTGTGAGTGTGTGTGTGAGAGAATGTGTGTGTGTGTGTGAGTGTGAGAGAATGTATGTGTGTGTGTGTGAGAGAGAGAGAGAGTGTGTGTGTGTGTGTGTGTGTGTGAGTGTGTGTGTGAGAGAATGTGTGTGTGTGTGTGAGTGTGAGAGAATGTATGTGTGTGTGTGTGAGAGAGAGAGAGAGTGTGTGTGTGTGTGTGTGTGTGTGAGTGTGTGTGTGAGAGAATGTGTGTGTG